TTAAAGATGACTGTGGTGTTTTGGCACTGTGAGTTTAAGCTATTCCATAATAGAGTTTGTATTTCATCTAATCAGCAAGTCGGAAACTATAAAAGTCTTAGATGGGGGGAAAATTAAAAAGTTGGATTGTAAGACACGAGTCTTTCCTTCCCTTACCATATGTTTCTGTAAAGTGAAACTTTTAAATCTTGTTAAGGAAGAAAAAAAAGCTTCTAAAAGGAATAAAGCAGCCTTTAAAATCTTATTTTCAGTTCAAGATACTTAAAATATCCAGCCTTGAAAAATGCAAAAGAAAAAAAGAAGGACACATGGTTTCTATATTCTGTGTCATGGTCTAGGCATATGCAGAATTAGGCACATCTAACCTTCAGTTTTTGTCTTTTCCCTATTTTTTCAGTGGGGCAGAACTAACATTTCTAGTTGTTTTGTGAAAAGAGTCCTTAAATGATCTAAGTTAAAAACATTTCCATTTGAATTCCACGGGAAACTCCCAGATAGTAGTAAAAAAATAAAAATAAAATTCTGTTTTTATGTGGAGTTGTGATAACTATCATGCCATCCATTTATGGAATAAGTTTTCAGAGGTAAGAACACTTCTAGGTGATGAAAGCAAGCATTTATGAAAACTGTCAATGGTCTAAAGAATAACTTGTATGCTTTAGTTCTGAGTTTCTTCTTTCTCTACCTCTATTAATTGTTGAATCCCCATATTGTTTTTTAATAATTTCTATTTCCGTTTTATTTTTCCTTAAGTTTTTGTTTATGTGTGAGAAGATTTATTAATCTTTATGCATTCTTTAAGTGAACTATTTGTGTTATCTTATTTTTATTCTAAATTCCTTTTGTTTTTTTGTTTGTTTGGTTTTTGTGCTGACCCTGGAGCTTGAATTCAGGGCCTAGATGCTGCTCCTGAGCATTTTCACTCAAGGGTGGCACTCTATCATTTGAACCACAGTTCCACTTTCAGCTTTTTGGTGTTTAGTTGGAGATAATAATCTTACAGGTTTTTTTTGCTAGGACTAGCTTTGAACCACAATTCCCAGATCTCAGCATCCTGATTAGCTAGCTAGGATTACAGGCATGAACCATCCATGCCTGGCTTAAATTTTCAATTTATGGGCTAGGAAGGTGGCTCAGTGGTAGAGCGCTTGCCTTGCATGCCTGAGGCCCTGGGTTCGATTCCTCAGCACCACATAAACAGAAAAAGCCGGAAGTGGCACGATGGCTCAAGTGGTAGAGGGCTAGCCTTGAGCTGAAGAGCTGAGGGACAGTGCCCAGGCCCAGAGTTCAGGCCCCACAACTGGACCCCCCCCAAAAAAAATTTCAATTTATTTTTAGTGCTTATGTATTTTTCATGACATTCTGCTTCAGGAATTGCTACTCTACTATCTCAAAGGATGCTTATTGGTTGAATGACCTTTCCAGCTTGTTTCTTCTAATAACCATTTGCAGTTCCTATTATTCACATTTCAAGCTTTTTAAATATGATTGGCAACCCCTATGGTATCCACTGATACTAATAGTTAATAGAAGATGAAACCAGGTCCTAATATATAGACAGACTTTCTATATGAAATACATTTATTCCTTCCATTAGTACTTCCTTCCCCCCTCCTTTTCTTTTCTTTCTTTCTTGAGTTTATTCAGTTGCAGTACTGGGGATTGAACTGAGAGCCTCCATGTTATACAAGAGCTCTAGCATTTTATCATGCTCTTAGTCCTTTGTGTTTAGTTTTTGAGACAAGGTCTTGCTCTCTTTGCTTGGGTTGGCCTAAGTCTTGTGATTCTCCTGTCTCTGACTTCCTGGTAGCTGTGTTTATACTTCTGTGTTTATACTCCTGGCTACTAGGGGTGCCAGTCGTGGACTGAGGCCTTCCAAATGTAGATACATGATAATATTATATTTCTTTCCACGAATTTCATTTCTGTAGGTATGAATCCAATTATTTCTTGGGGAATAAAGTAGGAGTGAAAAGAGTGTGCTAGAAGGAAGAGGTAAACCTTGTGTTTTTGATCTTCTACATAGACTACGTAAATGTCAGGAATCTGAGCACTCTGTGAGAAGACTTCACTCAATCTTCTTTTTACTCTCCATCCTAGTCTGTTTTTGCTTCTGTTTTCCTATGATACAATACTCAAAGCTGGAAATTTACAAAAGGAAGTATGTTTAGTTTACAGTTCTAGAGAGCTAAGAGCATAGCACCATCATCTGTTTGGTTCTGGTGAGGGTCTTCCAACAAGATCATAGCATGAAGGATGGCATCATGGTAGGATCAGAAGCAAGACAGAGGTCACACAGAAAGATGGGAAGTCAGAGAGATTCAGGGAATATATTTATTCTTTGTAGAACAACTCCATCACACAAGAGCTCGTTTTGTGAGAGCAGCATTCATCCCTGCTGAGAGTAGTGTCCCCATGACCTAGTTTTATACTAGATTCTGACCTTTCTTACCATCACCCCAGGGGCCACTGACATACTCAAACCACATGCAAATCTGCTGCTGTGAAATCTGTCCTGTCAAAGTATTCTTCACTCCAGGACTGTACCTATTCCCTTGGTTTACATTATGAATTTCCTTCCCTCCTACACCCCCGCTTTGTGGCGGATATCTGCTTCCAGGTATTTTTGTGCATAGGAGTAAAAATCTTCACTTCTGAATTCATAGAATGCCCTCCCCATTTGACATCCTTTCATTCTCTTTGTTATATGCCAGCAACCTCAGTCTATTTTACGCTATAGATTTCTTTGAATAAGTTGAATGTTTCCTTGTGCTGCATTCCAAATGGCACTGTGTTAGATTGTGGTTTCCTATGCTCTGATAAATTTGTTATAATACTGCCATCATTCACTTTAAAAATCCTTTACATTGACATCTTCCTCATCAAAAGGACTGTTCCTGTGTGGCAATTGTTCCTCAGTGTCACTAAGTGAATTAGGTACATTAGGAGCAAACACCGCTATTAATTCACCTTTAAATGTCCTTTCCTGTTTTTTTTTTAATTTTTTAATTGTTATTACAAGGGTGGTTACAGTTATATAAGTCAGGTAAAGAGTAAATTTCTTTTTGAACAATGTCACCCATCCCATCCCATTCTCCCAGTTTCTCCATTGGTTTTGTTTTTGTAAACAGCTGGAACTTTATGACAAAAGCTGAGCACCCCCAAAGATAGTCCTGTCTACCATATTTATTATACAAACTGAGCATGCCCTAAAATGTATCTGCCAGCTTCTCTTTCTGAACTGTATCTTTAAACTAGGCATTCTCAGCTTTGTATTCCTTAACTGAGCACACTCAGGAACCTGCCTGCCGAGTAGTGCTTTTCTATATGAAAAGATTAAGATTAAGATCCTCCAATAAAATTTCCAGGCTTCCTCTGTTTAACAAAAGCTTATTTTGATCAAGGTTCTGTGTCGACCCTGGTTTTTGTACCTTATTCTGTCACTCCTAGATTTTTGTTGTTGTTGTTGTTCATTGGAAGAACATATTCAGCAATACTATTTAATGGATTGATTTTTTTTTTTTTACTTAGTTTCTGGGGCAAAGAATTTCTCTGACCATGTGGCCTAAGAATGAAACCCAAAGCTTCAAAAAGATGATTGAGATAGTCCCAGCAGAGACTAAATTCATTTTCCTTCCAGATCCCATCCTCAAACGGGCAAATACTCATGCCTTCATGTACTAGTATGCAAACTTATTTTATGTCATCCTTGTACTGAGGATAAAAATCAGATGTTTTGTTTTGTTTTTGAAAGAATCTAACTCCTGGGCTTATACTGGATCAAAGCTTTGTCCTCTAGTCCCAAACCAATGATATGAGCGCCTTTCCATTGCTTTTTACACTTGATAAAAATCTCAGCCTCAGTGCATCTACACTTGCCTTCATTGTTCTGACTTTTAATTATTTCATTTCTATGTAGTGGGACTTAATTTTTTGAGTTCAACAAAGCACTGAAAAATAATTGTTACAGTTCTTTTAATTTATTAGGTTTTTAGTTTTTATGAAGTTTTTTTTAAAGTTTAAGTTTATTAATTTTTTTTGGGGGGTGGACAATCATGGGGCTTGAGCACTGTCCGTGAGCTTTTCGCTCAAGGCTAGCCCTATACCACTTTGAGCCAAAACTCCACTTACAGTTTTCTGGTGGTTAACAGGATATAAGAGTATCATTGACTTTCCTGTCCTGACTGATTTTGAACTGTGATCTTCAGTTCGCAGCCTCCTGAGTAGTTAGGATTACAGGTGTGAGTCACTATCACCGAGCTGGTAACATTTTATGCTTTACAGTAACATGACTTCCATGGACTATGTTCTACAAGAGTTCTAGTCACACAGTGAGTGGCCAAAGGAATGCTTCACTGCTCATACTGAATGACATTGGTTAGAAGGAATTCCAACATATGCAAAGTTTGTATGTTGGTTATTTGAAACAAACAACTTAATTCTAATTAGAGCCAATTTGGTGCTAACATTTATTTAAAATATAATTTAACATTTATGCAAACATTGCTATCTGGACAAAGTCATTATGCAACCATATATTTGAAGTTCTTTTTTCCCATTAAGTTACAAACAATGATCATGACCTCTCATTTTTGATCTAGGCTAAACTACTACACAAGTATGAAGTAATTAATTTTTTCTGTATTTTCTGAACAGGGTTTTAACTGAATTACCATGGCTAAGTCTTCACTTAGCACAGTTAACTCAGAACCTCAGACCCTACCCATTCCCAGTGCATGTGAGATTTCTCAGGTGCAAAGAAGGTCATTACTGGGGCTGGGAAGGTGACTCAGTGGTAGAGCGCTTGCCTTGCATGCCTGCCGCCCTGGGTTCGATTCCTCAGCACCCACATAAGCAAAAAGAAAAAAGACGGATGTGGCGCTGTAGCTCAAGTGGTAGAGCGCTAGCCTTGAGCTGAAGAGCTGAGGGACAGCGCCCAGGCCCAGAGTTCAGGCCCACGACCGGACCCCCCCCCAAAAAAAAAGAAGGTCATTACTCACTGTTAGAGCCAGCAGTTTCCCATAGGTGAGATGAGCAGGGATGTGATCAGTCTTAGATCTCAGCGACTCCATATACCAATGCTCTGCTTCTGGGAGCTTGCTCAATCGCATGTATGCTTCACCTGGAAAGAAATCCATGAAGGTCAAGCCTTGGCTGCAACACAGTAGGGTGATGACAGTTAACAGTTCAAAAAGCCAGAAGAAAGGCATCTGGGCTTTTTCAACATGCTGAAATGAAAAGTGTTAGAGGAGAAAGTTTTGTTTAACCTGATTTAAATATTACACAATGTGGACAAATATCAAAATATCATAAATCCCCATAAATATATGTATATATTTATATTTATACATAATTTGTACTCTTTAATGTATCAGTTAACAATGAGCTATGAAGAAGGCAAAAGGAAATAAACTATTTTCTTTCTAACAGTACTCGCAACAAAAACATCATACTGCTTAGATTCCATGAAAATTTCAGACACTGAGAAAAATACTTTCATACATGTTTTTATTTTGATGCCTAAAGATGACATCATAATTTTTATTTTATAAATGGAAAAAAGCATGTTTAGAAAAGAAAGTGAAATATTTTGTGTTTAGAATTTCAAAAGTAATGCAGCTTTAATTTTTAACTTACAGCATATGAATCATAAGAATAGGCCCTTTGTGACCATTTGTTCCAAAGATGAGTCAGTTTGTTCCTCTCCCTATTCAGTTTTTTCCTCTTTACATTTAGTCATTCTTTTAAAACTTCAAGTCTTTATAAAATGCTGCCTTCTTGTCTGAGCATGCAATCTTATTTTATGTTATCTTTATACTAATGGCATGAATTCCTCCCTTATGAATTCTGCCATGTTGAACAAAGATTTCCAAATATAAAAAGTGGTCATTTCTCTCAGGAAAATTGAAATTTTTGTAGAGTGAAGAGCTTATGGGGGACTATATGGAAATGTGTACAGTCCTACCTTCCTTCCAGGTTAGAGAGCCTTGTGGAAGAAGAAAGATTAATTGAAAGAATTAAAAATGTCTTTGGCACAAATATAGTGGAGAGATTTTAATCAGAAATTTAATGTTAATTTTTTAATTAATTAAATTTAACTTTGCATTCTACAGGCTAATGTAGTAAATAATATTTACCAGTTTCACTTGGAAAACCCAGTAAGTGCATGTCAATGATCAAGAATGCCATTTTCAACATGCATAATGCATGCTTTGGGCCTTTCAGATACTAGTCATTACTTTGAAACTACACAGATTTCAGCTACCATATTTGTGTCTTGTTAACAATCAAGCAGGAGAAAAAAAATACCAGCTTATCACCATTTATAATCACTCCTTTGTTCCTTAAAATAGAATATAGAACATCCAAGTGATAGAAAAATTGTAAGATGATTTCTTGTATTTTTAAGTTAAATACTATGTTTTTAATATGCACTGAAAACATATGTGCTGTTCAGACCAACAAGACTAGGGTATTATTTTATATACAGACTACTCTAACTTAAATAACCAAAACTATGACATTGTTCCATTTAGAAATACAATCAGTAGGGTTTTTTTTCTCTAAATCTATTACTTAATTACAATAGTTGTATATCCTTGTTTCAAAGAAATAAATCATCCCCTTAAAAAATCATTGTCTTTTTCAGTTAGTGCAGTACTATCAATATAAATACTGATACTGATTCTAATTTTAGTATGTCTGATAAGCTGGGTTGAGGAGTGTCCTGACCTTCGAATCTCCTGTGCTTGGCTAGTGAGTAAAAAACAAAAATAGTATAGATAAATAATATGTAATTGCAAACTTTTATGACTATTCAAATGCCTATGTTTTTACTTCTAACAAAAATCCTTGAAGTAGAGTATCATAAAAATGATAGTTGGGAGATGTTTGAAGTTTTATTTCCATAAAGTTTAAAACATGTTGACATTTTAGAAATTGGCTTGATGAAATAACTTGTTTAGAATAAGATGCAGAAAATGCTGAAGTAAAGACCAAAGGCTGAAATAGCATACACAAAAGAACTTTTAGTTGTCAAATGTAAAATTAGGTATGGATTTTTTTAAAAAAAATCTTTAAATTTCTGCAATACTTTTCTTGTTTTTAAGACCTCTAAAAATTAATAAGCTTGTCAGATAACCTTTTTGGCTATATTTATCATGTAATTCTTTTTTTTTTTTTTTTTTTTTGGTTGTGGGGCCTGAACTCTGGGCCTGAGCAGTGTTCCTCAGTTCTTCAGCGCAAGGCTAGTGCTCTACCACTTGAGCCACAGCACCACTTCTGGCTTTTCTGTTTATGTGTTGCTGAGGAATTGAACCCAGAGCCTCATGCATATAAGGCAAGCACTCTCCCACTGAGCCACCTTCCCAGCCCTATCATGTAATTCTAACTACAGAAAATGGTAAATTTTCTTCCATTTCTTTGTAGTAAAACACTATATATAATTTAGATAAGGGAAAAGATGCAGAAAACCTACAGGATTTAAAAATTAAAATCAATCTCCAATAGACTACAGCTAAACATTTAGCTCAAATGGAGTATATACCCAGAAGTAAAATAGCTTGTGTTCTCGATTTTATTTTGGGATCAACTTGGAATTCTTTGTGACTTTTTCAAATACTCGTTTTTATGTCAGATTTTAACACTTTACAGTACAGAATTCAATAGCTTTGACTTCTAGCTTATAAAAGATTAACACATTTTTTAGAGTTAATAGTCTTCAATGTACAAAACCCCAAATCCAGTGTACTTATGAAATTTAAATCTTTATTACATTAAACTTGTTATATCTAAAAATCATTTTAGATTGTAATACTGCTTTTATTCTACCTAAAAAATCTGTCATTATTAATAAAAACATATTTTGAAATGGAGTATCAATTTGCTAAATAATTCATGAATGGCCAATTTCTTCAGCAAGAGCTCTCAAGTAACTTTATAAAGATTGCTTTAGAGAAATAGAATGTAAAATATTGAAATCATGAATCTTGGCAAGTATATGAAAATTGATTTAAAAAAAACTAGCCTAAGTGAGGACTATTCATTATCACTGAGAGAAACTTGGTATAACCACTCATGGTGTCTTTTGTTTGTATGCTACTATTTGGGGTTTAAACTTGGCTCTGTGCTAGCAAGCATTCTACCACTTGAGTCATGTCTCCTGCTCACTGTATTTTGATAATAAATGATGACAACAACAGTCATACCTTAAGAGTGCATTATGATTAGGGTAGCAAACTACAGATGGCAAATGTCTAACTTTCCTACACAATTAGGCACAGAGAATTCTTCTCATGTAGTTTCATATGGGTCTTTACACATGACTCACTCGACCACTAACCAGCTGTTCATAGTACATTTGCAAGATGAAACCTATTTTCAGTCTTTTTCTAGCAACTTTATATATGTATCTCCTTGATTACAATGGAGTACAACTCTCTGGGATGTACAGTTTAAAAAAAACACAAGGAGAAAGAGTATAGCTAGGAAACATGAAATCATAAACATACAAAGTCATAAAGCTGAAATTTAAATGAAAGGCAACCTGCCCTCAAACACATTGACTCAACCAGCTAGTAGAAAATAATCAAACCTTCCAATTTTCTAGCTCTTGTGAAAATGATATTCTCTCACTCAATTAAAATTTTTCTCTAGCTGTGAAACACTGGCCAGCAGGTTTTCACTTTGCCCTGGGCTTATCTATTGAATTGAAGAAATCAGGAAGAGTAATAATACAACATAGTTGACCTTCAAAGATGCTTCTTACAAATAAGCAGCATAATTCCTAAAAGGGAAATTTGTGGCATGTAAGGTGTACATTGGTTCTAAGGTTAACTCTAATGCCAAAAAGTCTATATAAGTACTAATAAAATCATGATGCAAAATCTGAAATGCAATAAAATGATAATGGATAAATTGGATGTGGTAAAAAGGCAAATCAATAAAGATTCAAGAAACAATGATACAAGAATAGCCATACGTTTCACATTCCTAATCCACAAGAAGGATTAGAATACTCATTTCATAGAGGCAGGGGGAGGTTCAGAAATGGGAAGTGACATTCATAAGAACAATTATATTCATGTCCTAAAGATACTGAATGGCTTTACAGTTGTGTTTTTCCTCCCAACTATCACATGAGACTTATTATTCAATGACTACCTACAAACACCTTAATTATCTTTATATTTTTAGAATTGATCCCACACTGTGATTAACATCAGTCTTATTTTATAAACAAGGTGGCTGTATTTCACTGAACTTAACTAATACCTTCAAGATCAAAACCAAGGAAATGCCTATTTGAATTTCCTATTAGATTTTTTTCTGGCTCTTTCTACTGGAATATGTTCCACAAAAAATATCAGAAATAATCATTAAAGCAATAAAATAATTTCAGTAAGTGCCATCAGTGTAATTATGTCAGGAAAGAAATGGTGCATATGAATTGTTTCAAGCTTCATTAAAATATTAAATTCATATTTAAAAAACAGAAAGATAATGGCCATAGGAAAAGAAAGTTCAGTAAATTCAACAAACAAAGAAACAAAGATAGTTGGTCAGAAATAGAATAGAAAGAGAAGGGTTAAGTCATTTTCTCTGGTACAGTATTTTTTCCTTAACTTACAAGAAGAGAAAACAATGTTTATAGTACCCAGGAGGAAAGAAGAAATAATGACCATTTTTCCTTCTCTTCCTCTAAAAAAAATGACATAATCGAGTCACTTTCATAAGAATGAGATTTTCTGCACAATGATGTAGCAATCGGGTTCATCACCCAGATTTATTTCCGATTCACTCCCAGACAAAAGGGATTTGGATGTCTCTAGGTTGGCTTGAGGCAGGTACAAACCAGTTTCAGATGTACAACAAATAATGTCACTCTTCCTCCCTAAAAAGCCCTGAGTCTAAATAACCAGACAAAGGTTAACTCTTGAAGGAAAAAATATTGGGTTATTGTTGATGTAATAGTCTAGAGCTCACTGATTCTTATATTTCAAATTATTGGACAGCTCTAACTTGCAAATAAACAACAGAACAGGTAAAAAATAACATTATATTAAGACTCAGTATAGATTATTTTCTTAAAATCTTTCATCACCACCCATACCAAAAGTGATT